CCGTCCCTCTAAGGGGTGGTGCGCGCCGCTGCTCCCCGCCCACCCTGCCGCCCTCGCGCCCGCTGCGTCACCGTCACCGTCGGGAGCGCGCCCCTGGGAGGCTTCTGCTGGACGCGAGCCCGCCTTCCCCGCGGGGTCCTGTCTCCCGCCGTGCCTAACTCTCGGCGTTGGGCGGCGGCGCCCGGGGCGGCCAGGAGTGCCGCCCTGGGCCGGCCTCCCTCGGCGGTGGCGGCACGTGACCCTGTGTCCGGCTCGAAGGCTGCTTGCCCTCTGCCGGGCTCCAGTGTTTCCGGGCGCCCCAGAGAAACACACGGAGTTGCAGGCGGCCGCCCGAGTTGTCTCGAAATCTAGCTTCCAAAGCTGCGTCTGCAGCTTCTCCGCCCGGTACTGCTCAGAGAGGCTTAGGCCCTCCTCCAGGCCACGTTCCTGGGCGCTTGGCTGTCCCATTGCCTTCCTCCCTCACTGCTTTTAATGCTGTGTTGTCTTGGATCACAGCCGACCCGAGAGCAAAATAATCTTATTCCTCACAGATCTGTAAGCACCATAGAGACAACGTGTAATGTAAAAGAAATTCTCAAACTCGGAATGTAAGGAATCAGTATCAAAGTCCCCTAAGACTACTGTCCAATACGGTAGCCATACGGGGCTATTGAGCGCTTAAAATGTGGCTGGTAGGAATTGAGGCGTCCTGTGCGTCTAAACCATACACCAGATGTCAAAGACCACCTCCTTAATACATTTTATATTGATTACATGTCGAAGCAATATTTTTGATATATTGGGTTAAATTAAAAATTACTAACTTCACTGTTTTTGTTGTTTTACTTTTTAAATGTGGCTAGCTACTAGAAAATTTTAAATTACACATGTGGATAGCACTGCTCTAAAATGTAAAGAAGTGGCACTTTGGACAATAAGTTAACTTAGCCTTTATCTTAATTTTAAATCAGTTCAGAGAGATGTTTTAATCTAGTACTAAATGTTTCTGTTTGTTTCTTTAGCCTAGATGAGTTTATATTGTTTCTTGATTGTTTTATGTTTAGACAATGTTTATTATTTCAAGTGATTTCCTTTTAAATAATCCATGACCTCCCTTGAGAGATTTCAGAATTGAATTCAATTTTGAAAAGAAGTTGGTTATTTTATCGTTGCTATTTATTATGTTTGATATTGATTAAATGAACTACCTTAATCTACAGTTAAATGGTAAACTATAATCAGAGAACCAATTCTGCATTCACTATACTCTGTTTTACTGGGGTAAAGTTCTCTGTACTGAGAACCAATTCTGCATTCACTATACTCTGTTTTACTGGGGTAAAATCAGTAAGAAAGAACAATGTTTACAAATGAAACTTCCATTGTTCAGTTACTGATTAATGAATTAAAGTTATAGCGGGATAGAATACTACCAGCAAAATAACTATAAATGGAAATTTTAAAAACATCACCATTGTAGTTCATTAATTCTAGGATTCATTTTAAAAAGAAAAAGATTTTTTAATTAATTTATTTATTTGAGAGAGAGTGAGAGTGGTGGGAGGGACAGAGGGGGAGAGAGAGAATCTCAAGCAGACTCCGCGATAAGTGCGGAGTCCTACCCCCTACTTGGGGCCTTGATCTCACAACCCTAAAATCATGACCTGAGCCAAAACCAAGAATCTAATGCTTAACCCACTGAGCCACCCAGGTACCCCCAGGACTCACTTTAAAAAACTCTTTAACATGGGGCACCTGAGTGGCTCAGTGGGTTAAGTCCCACACCGGTTTCAGCTCAGATCATGATCTCAGGTTGTGAGATTGAGCCCCGCCTCCTTAAGATTCTCTCTCCCTCTGCCCCTCCCCCTCTTAAAAAAAACAACACTTTAACACATTTTAACATTTCTGAAATGTAAATGTATCTCACAGTAACATCTTAACACTAACTGTAGATGATTTTTTCTTGATCATATGTAAGTAACAGTGCATCTTACAATGAATGCCCTCATATTCAATGAACTATATCAGTTGGTCAATTAAAGCATTTTGTTATATTCTGCTTTTCTCCAAAATGTTTTTTTGGAACCTTACAACAAAAGATTTTATATAGTATGAACAATAACATGGAAAATGAGGCCAAGAAAAGTGAAAGAAGCACATATTCTTAAGAACAGAATTGGTATAATTGAGTATAATCAGTAGATTAAAGATCAGCTATGTTGTACATAGGCCTAGTTAAACTTGGTCTTGTCCAAACCATTCTATAGATCTATAGAATATTAGGATTACATATTCTAAAATGAATATGCATGAATATGTAATCCTAACATTAGAATATATAATCCTAACATTCTATAGATACTGTAAAAGTGTATATTTCTTCCATGTAGCACAGGAACATAGGAATCTAGCAAAGACCCTGTCCGCTGATCTTACTTTTTGGCAGTTAACTTTTTTTTTTTGGTTGTCTAAAGGGCCCTCCTCTCTTTCAGAAAACAAGTTTTCACCGAGGTCAGGGCTTCTGATGCTTTCCAGGGACAATCCAGTAGCATTAGTGTATATTAGAATTCATACAGTTTGAGGAGCAATATTTTCAGAGACAAACAAAATCCAAATTTGACTGTCATTTAATGGCCCTAGATATTTTAGTTTATAAAACCTTAACAAGAAAAGAATTCAAAATATCTGGTTCAAACCAAGTAGTTAGAACACATTTTTGGCTTGAACCAAACCCAAACCAAAATACTTAGCTGACTCAAAACTGAAACTGAAATGAAATTGTATCGGTTCTAGCCCAATGTCCCAGAAAAGATAGGGCAGAAGGCTGGGAGAACACAGGTACATAAGTTACTCCAGAGAAACAAAACAATTTATCTTTGGCATGTTGATACTCTTAGTTACATTATGCCCCAACTGCCTGTATTTAAAAGTTAGTGTTACATTTTTTAAAGTTACATTTTCAACAATCAGGATTCCTGATTTGGGTTGTGTCTAAGAAAAACATCATCTTTGGTAAGATTCTAGGTAAGTTTAAAATGTGGCACTGAAAGGCTATGCAGAGAAAAAAAGACAAATTACGCCAGATGATTATAAATATTTGTCTTTGAAAAATGAAATGTGTTGGGCGGGGCGCCTGGGTGGCTCAGTTGGTTAAGCGACGGCCTTCGGCTCAGGTCATGATCCCGGAGTCCCGGGATCGAGTCCCGCATCGGGCTCCCTGCTCAGCAGGGAATCTGCTTCTCCCTCTGACCCTTCCCCCTCTCATGCTCTCTCTCTCTCTATCTCATTCTCTCTCTCAAATAAACAAAATATTAAAAAAAAAAAAGAAAGAAATGTGTTGGGCGCCTGGGTGGCTCAGATGGTTAAGCGTCTGCCTTCGGCTCAGGTCATGATCCCAGGGTCCTGGGATCGAGTCCCACATCGGGTTCCCTGCTCCTTGGGAGCCTGCTTCTCCCTCTGCCTCTCTCTCTCTCTGTCTCTCATGAATAAATAAATAAAATCTTTAAAAAAAAAGAAAAAGAAAAATGAAATGTGTTAATATTTTTTACCTGCCTTTTTATGTTGTTGATTTCCTATAATGAGCATTATTGTTTTTATGGTGAAAAATGGCCATTTTTCTATGTTACAAAGGAGTTAATAAAAACCAAGTAGAAATTTTTCATAACTTTTCTTCAAATTATGAGTGGTACAGTCACTTTGGAAGATAGTTTGGCAGTTACTTACAAAACTAAACATACTCTTACCATACGATCCAGCAATCACATCCTTGGTATTTACCCAAATGAGTTGAAAACATGTCCACACAAAAACCTACATACAGATGTTTATAAGAGCTTAAATCATAATTGACAAAATGTGGAAGCAACCATGTCCTTCAGTAGATGAACGGATAAATAAACTGTGGTATGCCCAAACAATGGAATATTATTCAGCACCAAGAAGAAATGAGCTATCAAGCCATGAAAGACTTGGAGGAAGCTTGAATGTATATGACTAAGTGAAAGACTCTTTCCCACTATATGACATTCTGGGAAAGGCAAAACTATGGAGACAGTAAAAAGATCAGTGGTTGTCCAGGGAGGAGGCAAGGGATGAATAGGCAGATCACAGAGGATTTTTAGAGCAGTGAAACTATCCTGTACAATACTATAATGGTGGATACACGTATTATACATTTGTCAAAACCCATAGAATTTACAACACCAAGAGTGAATTCTAATATAAACTGTGGACTTTGGGTGATAACAATGTGTCAGTGGAGGTTCATCAGCTATAACAAATGCACCATTCTGGTGGAGATGTTGATAGTGGGGGAGACTGTGCATGTGTTGGGGCAGAAATTATGGAGAACTGTCTGTAATTTCTGCTAAATTTTGTTGTAAGCCTAAAAATCCAGAAAATAAAGTCTATCTTTTAAAAATAAGTACTTCACTCAAAAATATATATATTGAAAATGTTGTCTGGATAAGTGAGATAAACTAGTTTGTCATCAGATACTAGGGCTTTGCACCTTCTAGGCACTCAAATATTTGTTGAACAAATGAATAATCTACATTGAGAGAAGTCACTGGAAAAACTGCTCATCTTTCTCCTTTGTTTGCAAATACTTTAAAAATATTTTTTCTTTGTGGAAAAAAA